TCTGCTGCCGGCATCCCTGTGAGCCTCTTCCCTGGACCTTCTGACTCTGCTTGGTTTTCTTCTGTGGTGGGAGGATATCAGAATTTGCTTTGGTTACTACCAAGCTGCTGCTCTGGCCAGGGCAGGTAGAGGGGTAGGCTGGAAGCTCACGGCATGGATCTAAGATCAGGTCCTTGTTATCTGCTGCACTCCTCTCTCGGGTATCATGGAGAGGAACTTCAGGGATCTTTGGAAAGGGCTGCTTTTTCCAGTCACATGATACACCTTCATTATTTTGATGATCCAAAACACTTTTAATTGGGGAGCTAGAGTCCTCAGGGCTCGGTTGCTTGTAGGTCAGAAACTTACATGTAAGCCTTTGAGCCAGAGGAATAAATTCTTCTTCATCTTCACTTTCACTGCTTAGCAACCTGACTGGCTGCGTTTGTGTGACAGTTTCAGCTGTGTCTGACACAGGTGGTGAAAGTAACCCTGGTGTTGGAGGACAGGAGGCTTCAGAATCTGAGATGTCAACCACTACAATCTTCTCCTCCCTCTCAGGCTGTCTCCTCTTTGTTGAAGATGGTTCCTTCTTCAGAAAGGCAAATGTTGGCAACTCCTCAGAGTCACTATCACCAGAATCTCGTGAGGGTGATGACTTCCTTAGAGCCATCAGTATGTGCTATCAAATAATTCCCTAAAAGGAAAAGAGACATACGACACAGACTAGAGCATTCAATTCAGTCCACCAGCTGTGTTCCATAGCCAGGCTTTATGACATAAATATAAGATACAGAGAATACAGAAACAGAGAAATATGACATGGTCCCAACACATTCAGTCTGGAACTCTAACTCTTGGTAATCTAACAGGAATCCTCCTCAAATTCTTTCCAGGTCAAGTTGAGGTATAAACAAAGTAGAGTTACCATTACAAAATTTTAATGGGGGGAGGTGGTAACAAGATTTAACACCTCCACCCCCTTGTTGATCTTCACATTTGAAATGGAGATGTCAAAAGTTATTCTTTTTTGAGATGGAGTCTCGCTCTGGCACTCAGGTTGGAGTGCAGTGGCACAATCTTGGCTCATTGCAACCTCACTCCCAGGTTCAAGCGATTCTCCTGCCTCAGCCTAGCTGGGATTACAGGCGCCCACCATCACGCCTGGCTAATTTTTTTATTTTTAGTAGAGACGGGTTTTCATTATGCTGGCCAGGCTAGTCTTTTTTTTTTTTTTTTTTTTTGAGACGGAGTCTCGCTCTGTCACCCAGGCTGGAGTGCAGTGGCCGGATCTCAGCTCACTGCAAGCTCCGCCTCCTGGGTTCACGCCATTCTCCTGCCTCAGCCTCCGGAGTAGCTGGGACTATAGGCGCCCGCCACCTCACCCGGCTAGTTTTTTGTATTTTTTAGTAGAGACGGGGTTTCACCATGTTAGCCAGGATGGTCTCGATCTCCTGACCTCGTGATCCGCCCGTCTCGGCCTCCCAAAGTGCTGGGATTACAGGCTTGAGCCACCGCGCCCGGCCGCCAGGCTAGTCTTGAACTCCTGAACTCAAGTAATCTGCCCGCCTTGGCCTCCCAAAGTGCTGAGATTACAGGCATGAACCACCACAGCTGGTCAAAAACTGTTCTTTTTAAAAATTGAGACATAGGCTGGGCATGGTAGCTCATGCCTATAATCCCAGCACTTTGGGAGGCCAAAGCAGAAGGATCACTTGAGTCCAGGAGTTCAAGAACAGCCTGGGCAACATAGTGAGAACTCGTCTCTACAAAAAAATACAAAAATTAGCTGGGTATGGTAGCTCACACCTGTAGTCCCAGATACTGAGGAGGCTGAGGTGGGAGGATCGCTTGCACCTGGGAGGTCAAGGCTGCAATGAGCTGTGATTGTACCACTGCACTCCAGCCTGGGTGACAGAGTGAGACCCTGCTTTAAAGAAAAATAAAAATAAAAATAGAGATATAATTTGCACAGCACAATATCCTTTTAAAAGTGTACATTCAGTAGTTTTTTAGTATATTCACAATGTTGTGCAACCATCATCACTATTTTCATCACCTCAAAAAGAATTCCTGCAGCCATTAAGCAGTCACTATCCATTCCCTCCCTCTCCCCAGCTCCTGGCAACCATACATCTGTCTCTATGCATTTGCCTGTTCTGGATATTTCATATAAATAGAATCAAACAATATGTGGCCTTTTGTGCCTTTTTTCACTCAGCATGTTTTCAAGGTTTATCTGTGATGTAGCCTGTATCAGTACTTAATTACTTTTCATGACTTAATAATATTCCATTGTACGGATACGCTACATTTTGTTTATCCATTTATCACTTGGACATTTAATTTGTTTCCATTTTTTTGGCTATTATGAATAATGCTGCTATGAACACTGATGTACTACTTTTTATGGAGGTATGTTTTCAAATCCCTTTCGTGTATATACTTAGGAGTAAAACTGCTGGGTCATATGCAAAGCTAATCATTCCTGGAACATTTACTAACACTGTAGGTATGACCCAGGAGGAGACATGTAACCTGCCTAGGCCTCAGTTTCTTCCTTAGTAAAACAGGGATGATAACAGCACCCATTTTATAAGGTGGTGAGAATTAAATAAAATAATGCATACACCGCGCTTAGTACAGCATCTAGCACACAGCTGGCTGAATAAACTAAGTTGAATGACTAGGGAGGGGGCCTCATCTCTGACCCTTCGCTGGGCCTCCGTTGACATCTGCAAATGAGGGGAGTGAGACAAGCGGGCCCCTGTCCGACAAGCTCTGCGCCTCTCAGGCTGGCGGTCCGCTGCAGAGGCTCCTGGACGCCCTAGCCACCAAGACTCTGCAGATAGGTGCTCAGGAGGGAAGTCCCGCCTAATCCGCTGGCCTGCAGCGGGGTACACTCACCTGCAACTTCTCCCGCCACTCTTTCAACTGCCACGCAGGGCCCGGAAGTAGATCTCCTGATAGCGGAAGTAGAACATTTTCGAGACCGGAAGTGAGTGAACGCAAACATGGCGTCTGTGGTGCTGGCGCTGAGGACCCGAACAGCTGGTAATGGGACGCAGTAGTCAGAGCGGGGCGAGGCGGGGAGGCAGAGTGGAGCTCCAGCAGGGAGGGAAGGAGGTGATACTGATCCCCGCGGAGGACCCTGGATGCGAGGGGAAGTGTGTGGGCCACTCCAGGTTTGAGGGACGCTGTCGCTGGTCACGTGACACATCCTGGGTAGAACCATGAGTGGGGGAGTTGGAGGAGCACTTGGCCTTCTCCTGCCTCAGGAGCACGGACGGCTTTCTTGGCGGTTGGGGGTTTGGGTGGATCCTTTCTCTGTATGAGTATTAGTAACAATGGCACATTGGTGATGAAAAAATTAATCTATTCATTCAACAAATTGAGGTCTTACTTTGTGGTAGACACGGCGGCAGGTGTTCAGAAAATCAGCAGAAAACGTGAAGACATGGCTTCTAGCCCCCGAACGGTTTTCTCTGGTGCATAAGCCAATAAATGAACACATAAAGTAGTTGCAAACTGGCAAGTGCTGTGAAGAAAGAAAATGAGTGTGTGTGTGTGTTTTCTTAGATTGAACGGCGAAGGAAGTCTTCTGAGGAGATAACATTTAAGAACTAAAGAATGACAGGAGGCGGGGTATGATGGCTCATGCCTGTAGTCCCAACACTGGGAGGCCGAGGCGGGCGGATCGCTTGAGCCCAGGAGTTCAAGACCAACTGGGCCAGATGGCAAAACCCCATCTCTACAAAAAATACAAAAATTAGCCCAGTGTGGTGGCGCTTGCCTGTGGTCTCAGATACCCAGGAGGCTGAGGTGGGAGGATCACCTGAGCTCAGGAGGTCGAGCCTGCAGTGAGCCATGTACATACCACTGCACTCCAGCCTGGGTGACAGAATGGGGCCCTATCCTCACCCCCCCCCAAAAAAAAAAAGAATGACAGGAGACCTAGCCCTGTGTAGAGTGAGGGACAGGAGAGTGACTTGAGCCAGTTCTACATTTTGAGAAGCAAACTATTCCTGTTATGTAAATTTAAAGGGGATAGGAGTGGAAATGAGGAAATCAGATGGAAAGCCATAATATCCCTGAGCAGAGATGATTTAGCCAAGACGTTTGTGGTGGCAGTGAACTTGGAGGAAAATGGATGAATTTGAGATCTGTTCTGGAGTTAGCATCCACAGAGCTTGCTGGTGAACTGAATATGTGAGGTCAGCAAAGAGAAGGAATCCGCAGTGACTGTGGTTTCTGCCTAAGCAACTGACTGAATGGTAGCACCATTTACTTTGAGGAGGAGGATGGGGAGTAGGGTGAAGAGCAAATATTTGTGAATGAGATAATGTAAGTAAAGTAAAAGCCCAGCTCCTGAGCTTAGTAAGTATGTAAATGAATGAATAGATGTTTAAAGGTAGGTAGATCCTGGTGCTGGGCATTTAACATGTTGTCTTTCTGAGTCCTTATCTCTGGTCCTTTGCCGCAGTTAGTCTATGTTGTCATGGAAATGTCAGAAACCCAGGTTTCAGACACTCTGAACTTACAGGCTCCAGAGACCCACAAAGCTTCTCTAAAGACACTGGCATGGGCCTTAAATCATGGCTGTGTCTGGAGACCTGCAGGCAAGGAGTTGCACCCCTAAGCTTGTCATACAGCAAGGGACTACCATCTTAGTATGAATTTTAGTTTGTTTTACTTTTTCAAATGAATGCTATTGAGCACTTTGGAATGAGTATGGAGGGGTCAGATTAACAAGGGCAGTCTGTGGGTCATGGTTGGACCTCTGCTTGATGTGCTTTGAGAAGAAAGGGCCCAGCCTTCTGAAATGGCCAGGACCCTGTGGGAGCCACCTTCAGACCAGCTACCCTTTTAGTTTACTAGTATTTGGTGAGCAGTGGATGAGTGAATAGCTGAGAAAGTCATGGGTGAGGCCTGTAATCCCAACAATTTGGGATCACCTGAGGTCAGGAGTTCCAGACCAGCCTGGCTAACATGGTGAAACCCCGTTTCTACTAAAAATACAAAAAATTAGCCGGGCGTGGTGGCACACACCTGTAATCCCAGCTACTTGGGAGGCTGAGGCAGGAGAATCGCTTGAACCCGGGAGGCAGAGGTTGCAGTGAGCCAAGACTGCGCCCATTGCACTCCAGCTTGGGCAACAAGAGCAAAACTCCGTCTTAAAAAAAAAGAAAAAGTCGTGAGTGAGCCTGAAACAGAAGCCTCTCTGGATGTGCTGGGCTTCCCAAGTCTGTTCTGGCACCTCCATGGTGCATGAGGGTGAGTGAGCCTCTGAAGCAGGCAGCTCTGTGGTGTCCATTTCTCCTCAGCACATTTAGACTAAATGTGTCAGGACCCAGAACACATGATGTTTATTTTTTTCCATTTATGTTTCACTGCTCTCCCGCCCCCTCCCCCAAAAGAAGAAAGCCAAGGACCTTCAGGTATTCCCTGAGAACTAATACACTCAGTGGCACTTTTGCTCCCCTGACACATCTTTCTCATCTCCCCACCACCTCTCACCTCTCAGCATGTGCCCCATTGAGGCAGAAATAGTTTGAGCCTGTCTGTCTGAACAATGTTTCTGTTTTCTTTGCAGTTACATCCTTGCTGAGCTCCACTCCTGCTACAGCTCTTGCTGTCAGATATGCATCCAAGAAGACGGGTGGTAGCTCCAGAAACCTTGGTGGAAAGTCATCAGGCAAACGCCTAGGCATTAAGAAAATGGAAGGTGAGGATGTGCCTTGGCTTCCCCTTCCCAGCTGCACCCTGTCCTGGTGTTCCTTAGGAGAGCAGAAGAACCCTGCATGTTCCTGGCCCTATTCTTCCTCACCATCATAATTGTCTCCAGATTAAAGGAACAGATAAGACCTGAGGAAGGGTCATAGGGTGGGTGGGTATGAACCATAACTATGCAATTAGAGATAAGAGCTGCTGGGTGGCAGATCCTGCAGTGCTTGTGTTGGACTGTCTGGGAGTTGTTTTTGGCCAGGGGCAGGCTTGGAAGTTGGTATGCAGCATTTAGGCCATCATGTTTTCTTGGTAGTTTGCTATGCTGCCCCAGTCACTGTGGACTTCTCTTCTAGGTCACTATGTTCATGCTGGGAACATCATTGGAACACAGCGCCATTTCCGCTGGCACCCAGGTGCCCATGTGAGTTGCTCTGTTGCTGCCCCCTTTTTCCTTTCTAGGATGACCTCTCCTTGCCCCTAAGCATGGTAGTAACAGTTGCATGTATTGGGTGCTTACCAAATGGCAAGCATTGTGCTGATTCCCATGCCTACACGATCTCATTTCTTCCTTACTGCATCCCTGTGAGGTGGGTATTGTCTCTATTTTACAGGTGAAATGCCAGAGACTTAGAGGGGGTGGAAGGAGCAAGTGACTGCTGGGATTTGCACCAGGTCTGCCTAACTCCCAGATCATTATGTTTTGCTTTGGTGTTGCATTGGCCTGGTATTCTTGGTTCTTCTTTCTAACCCTCAGTTCTTGGAGGACAAGATATCTAAAATATTATTTTAGTCTTGGGAAACTAATTTCAATTTATTAGTTTTTCATTATGTCTAAGATCTCTCCCTTTGCATAGACTTACTTGTAGATGGTTGAAAGATAGCTTGAATTTATTGAAATAGAATTCAGTATGCCAGAAATTAGGTTCATACCAGGTGGGGATTTCAGTTTCAGCAAGTTGGCATCATTTTTATAGGGTAGGACAGTTCTTTGTTACAGAGACAGAACGATACTCTACTCTTCACATTATTTTAAATATTAGTTTCCTTTGTAAACAGTTTCCCTTCCCTCACCCCTTTTTGGATAATTTCATATGTAGTAGCTTTACCTTTTAGAACTTAAGACATTAGATGTGTAGCTATGTCAACAACAATCAAAGCTAACATATTTTGAGCTGGACGGTATTCTAAGCCCTTTATGATTGTTGACTATGAATCCTCAAATTGATCCTGTAAAGTAGCTAATATTATTCCCATTTGACAGATGAAAAAAAACGGAGGCACAGTGAAGTAAACTTGCCTAAGACCACACAGGAGTAAGTAGCAGTGCTGGTATTTGAACCAGACATCCTGGCTCCAGAGCCCATTCTTTTAATCAGAGAGACAGAATAGTGCTGGACTACCTGGGTAAAATCTGCCACACACCCAGCCTGAAGTTCTAAAAGAAAAAGCTAAAAAATATGGTTAAAAACTGTACATCCAACATAGTTTAACCTCTCTGCTTCGTATTTCTCATCTGAAAAATGGCATTGGAGATAATACCTCTTTTACAAGGTGAGGATTAAATGACTTAATGGGTATTAAAGAGCTTACATGGGTATTAGCTGATGCAATAGTATGATTGTTTTATTGGCATATGCATTATACATATAGCTTTGGTCTATATTTTCCATAGAGCCTAAACTTTATAAATCACTACCCAGATGAAAATTTACATCAAACTAGTGTTTTAATATGACATATGACAGTTCTAGTGTTGTTTAAGTCTTAAATGAAGATTTAGGGCATCTTCCTGGGTTTTGGGATCTGTCCACTTTGGCTTCTGACCAGTTACATAGACATGGCTCCAGGTAACAGCCCCCTGGGACTGAACAGTGACCCACGTTGGCTGTTGGAGCTTTCTTTTCCCTCATTTGTTATGAGTCAGTAAAGAAGCAGAAGGTTTGGAAGTGCCAGCCAGTGGGAAAGGGAACCTGAGATGGCATTCTCTGATCCCCCTCTTCGACCCCAGGGCGTGGCTCTGTGTGAGAAGTCTGTCCCAAAATTCTGGGACGGGCCACCTCGCTGACCAGCTGACCAGGTCTGTGTGTTGCAGGTGGGTCTTGGGAAGAATAAATGTCTGTATGCCCTGGAAGAGGGGATAGTCCGCTACACTAAGGAGGTCTACGTGCCTCATCCCAGAAACACGGAGGCTGTGGATCTGATCACCAGGCTGCCCAAGGGTGCTGTACTCTACAAGACTTTTGTCCACGTGGTTCCTGCCAAGCCGGAGGGCACCTTCAAACTGGTAGCTATGCTTTGATGTCCTGTTTGAGGCCATCAGACAGACTGGAGCCCAGGTGACAGGAGATGGTGATACCAGAAGTCAAGGGTTGGGGCGACGACACGGCCTCCCAAGGAAGAGGTCTGCTTGATGGTGACTCTGCAGGAGACTCTGAAGTGACTGCTGGGAAACCCTTTGGGAGACCTGACCTGGGGCCAAAAATAAAGTGAGCCAGAGTCATGAACGCATGCTATTTAGGGACACACCTGGATGGAACTGCCTAGTGATTTGTTGGTCCTTACCCAGGTTCTCTAGTGCACACCAAGGGGGAGCCTCAAAGCAAGAAAGAACGTATCTGAGTGAGGAAATGAGAAGGGGGACTTGCTTTGGCACTGTCCTCCAGAGGGGAAGGAGGGGAGCTCGTGCTTGAGGGTGTCATTGCTGCTTCCCCTCTTAGATCCCAGGAAAGGCCAGGGGCTGGGCCCTGGGAGGAGGGGTGGGGGCAGCCAGTAAAGGAAGCAACACAGTCATGTTCTTCTCCCGTAGCCACATGCAAAGGGAGCTGGGGCTGTAGCCCCAGAGATAGCCACAGGAAAGCCTCTTCCCTACCTCTCCAGGTCTAGGGCAGAGAGAGAGCTTGTGGGATGGCAGGATATGCTTCTGGGAGGCTCCGTCAGGCCTCATCTGCCCTGGACTGCCGAGGTCTTTCCAGTGGTAGGGCAGAGTAGGTAACAAATGGCTTCTTCCTGCTCACCTGAAGAGCTAGGCCTACCAAGCCCACATTCTCTTCTGGTTCTTGATTTATCTCAAACGATAAACAGTAGCAAAGAATCTGGCTTCAGGAATACTCAGTGAGGGCTTAGAGTGGGCAGGGGTCAGGCCACTCTATTGTCATCCCAGCCAGGACCTTTAGAGGCTTGCCTTTGAGTGGAGGAGCCAGGAAGAAAATCTCATTTTGGATGATCATTCCTGGCTGTTGGAGGTAGGTGGTGTTGGCTACGGTCCCAGAGAGGGGCCTGTTGGGTCCAGTGGCTTCCTTTCAGGGACTCTACTCTGCCTTGAAGGCAGGCACTCCAGGGATTGAGGTCAGAGAAGCCTCCCAGTTCTGGAGTTCTGCCTTGAACATGTCATCTTGCTTTCCCAGAACATTACCCTGGATTCCTCATCTCCTGCACATCCTTGGCAGAGGTGACCTGGGATTTACTTTGGCACCATGTGTGGGGGCATCAGGTACCAAGGCCCAGCTGGAGTAGTCTTTAGGCAGGGGAGATTGATGGGGGCTGTCTCCACAGGCTCAGTGTTCTCCCGTCCAGTCCCCTGGAGAAAGGGGAAGAGCCGGACAGAAGTGGTTGCTGCCTCCTACACTGTGGTGTTCCCCTGAGTAGGGCAGGTGGTTGCTTCCCGGGATGGCTGAGTAGAGCCACAGCAGGCCGGCGGTGGAGGCAGTGACCTTATGGCGTCCTCATAGCTTGGTGGCAGCTGAAGAAATGGGAGAGCAAAGGTGTTAGCCACTTTCTTGCTCTCCTCCCATATATGCACCACCCTTTCTTTGGACTGTTGCTTTCTGCATCTCCCCTGGAGATGTTGGCTCCATGGAAACCCCTCTGGTTAGCCCTCCCTGGGCTGGGGTCTGCACCATCTACACAAGAAGTGAACTGGGGCCTCCACTCATATCCTTGAGTTCTCCACTAGTGGCCCTTTTCCTGACCCCAGGGCCTCTAATTGGGTATTGTGTGTTAAAATGCAGTAAGTGAAAAGGTGGGTTAGCCAGGGCACCCAGGGCTGAGAAGGCTGGACATTCACCTCTCTGCAGGCCCGGAGCCCGAAGCGTTGTGCAATCAGCTGGTGAATCTGTTGCTGCCGGTCCTTCTTTTGAACACTCTCATAGCTGGGCAGGCAAGCTGGCTGCCACAGGGGCAGCTGGTGGCTCCTGGGCAGCCCCACACAGAATACCTCAGCCACCTGGGAGTGGCCCTGTGACCAAGAAAAGCCAAGGGAGCCAGGGAGGCATGCACCAGCGTTATCCAGCTTCGGTCTGGGTCCTCTTCCCCAGAGCAAGCCTAAGTTCAGGGTATTGCACTCCTCCCTCTCCTCCAAGAAGCCTCTCCAGTCTTCATCCCATCCTTCCCCTCCCCTGCATTCTTTTTAGTCCCCTTAACCACACTAGGTCCCTTGCCTGGCTTCACAACCCCAGCACGCACTTCTTCCTCCATCCCAGGTGGCAGGTCCAGGGGTCCTCACCTGTATCCCCTGGGACTCTCGGCTCCTTTCCCCTGGCTGGACCTCGGTGTGGCATCCCATGGTGCTGAAGTAGGGAGGTGGGCAGTCCTGGGATCATGAAGCACAACTCAAGGTGAAGCTCAGGGTCAGTGGGCAAGACAGCAGATTCCAAACCCTTTATTTCCCTCCATGCCCCTTTCTCCATCCCTTTAATCCTCTCCACCTGGGCCAAGGCACAAAGCTCAGACCCTCAGCATTTCTGGAAAGGACTAGGGTGTAAAGATAATGCACTCCTTCTGGCCACTAGCTCATTCTGCCACCGTCTGGTAGCCAGGTCTGATGACCTTTGGTGGGGAGTCAGAGAAAACCACCTCCTGTCCCTACCCCTCCATCCTGTCTGGTGCTCAGTGTTGGAATATGGTGTCAGAGCCTGGGGGGCTGCAGCTCAGAAGATTTTGTTTCCTTTCTGTACAGGATGCCATATGGCACGCTGTCCCTGGGGAGAGGACTGACAGTGCTGTTGTTGCCACTTACCCCCTCCCCCAGAAGTCGGGGTTCTGTACTTTCCCTTGGGAGCTGGAAAAAGACCTTGTCTTCACTGAGCAGCTCCTTGCACTGAGTTATGTTTAACAATGGTCAGGGAGGGGCCTAGATGTTATTAACCCTTTCCACGCTGCTCCCCTGACTCAGAGGGAACCCAGGCTGGATGCTGCAGAGAAAGATTCCAAAGGCCCTTTCCATACTGAACAATTGTTTCTCCTTGGTCAGAGGACAGGTGCCCTTTTGTCAGGATTTGGGTCAGGGTGGGGGCCATGAAGGCAAGGGGTTGGTGGGTCAGGGTGCTTACGTATTGGCTGGGACTCCGGAAGAAGTGGCAGGTGCAGAGGACCTGGCAGCACTGGGGGTCGCGCTGGTGCAGCAGCAGCAGCAGCAGCAGGATGGCCATGATGAACACCGCAGATGAGGCTGCCCTCCCCCCAGAGGCACCATCAAGGGGCAGCCTGGACCCAGCACATGCAGGCCCATTTTCTCACCAGATTGGAATTCACTCCAAAAGCTGGTGTAGGAATGACCTGCCTGGGACTGATACCAGCTTAACAAGGCAAACTGAGGTGCAGGCAGCTTCCTTTTTGCTACAGTATCAAGTCCTTGGGGCAGAGATTTGTGAGGGGGAGCAGAGTAGCCCTGTCCCTTCCCTGCCTGCAGCCCAGGGGGTGATGTGTGTAAGGGAGATTTTACAGAGACACAAAGGGAGGGGATGGAGCAGATACCCTGAGAAACAGTGGATCTGAGGAGGCAGGAGAGGACCCAAGAGCCCAGCTCAACAGCCCCTGGTGCCCAGCTCCTCTCGTTACCAAAGATTGTGGCATCATAGGACCTGGCACAGGGAAGGGACCAGAGGGATCAAAGGCCAGCCGTGCACAGCATACTTCTCAAGTCTTAGCTGGGGAGGGCTGTTGCTTGAGGTGACCCTATAGATGAAGAAGCTGGGCTTTGCCTACGGTGCCTCTGCCCCACCCCTGGGACACGGAATGGCAGTAGGTACTCACCGGTGGCCATGACTATGGCTAGGAGGCTGTTGTCCATGGTGATGTCTGCACACGGAGAAGCAGTGGCAGGGGATGCCAGGAAAGGGCATCAGCCTTGAGGGCAGCCAGCAGGGCCACAGGGCTGACCCTCCCCCCAGGTGCCACACCCCTCCCTGGGAACCCTGGCTTGGAAGAACAGCTTCATTCAGAGCAGGGGCATCTGTAAGCAGTTTTCCAGGCTCTCGGCCTCTCCTGCCTCTGTAGGCCTGGCATCTATGAGGGTCCCGCTACAACCTTCAGAGCAGGGGTTGGGAGGAACAGGCCCTGCTTCTGCTGAACCTGACAGCCAGTGGGACTCCAACTCGCTCAGATCTCCGCACTTCTCAGTTCCAGATCCCTCCCAGCTCCACTGCCCACCTCCACTTCCCATTGGCCCAGGTAACTGGGCTCTGAATGTCAATTGGCTGTCTTCTGGTCTTGGCTTTCACCTCTAACAGAACCGTGGTGTCCATGGTTGCCCTGGAAACCGGGTACGCCAGGCCATGAAATACAAAAGCCTCTGTCCAGGCTCTTCTCCTCCCTCCAAAGCAGTTATTGTGTAGCTCTGGGTGCCCAGCCTGCCTGCACCCGCTCCCTACCCCCACTGTGTGTCCTGCCTGGCCCAAATCCTGAATTTGAACCCAGGGGCCCAGCCTGGAGTGGATTTCAAAACCTCAAAAAACCCAAGCCTCCAGGCTGAGCTAACCCTACAGAAAGGTGGGGGGGGGTAGAGAACACTGTCTGCTAGGAACTCGGGCAGCAAAGCTGGGCTCCCACTCACCTCAGTGACCTGAACAGGGGAGAGAATGGGAGAGGAGTGCCTCCACCCCCAAGCCTGCCCTCTGAACCTCTCAGGAGTCGTCCTGGGGCCTGGTCCTGGGTCCTGCAGTGCTTCGAACTCAGTGGGGCCAAGACAGGCCTGCCAGAGCAGCAGGGGTGGGGCTACGCTTCCCTGGTTCTGCCTGCCTGCTTGTTAGAAAGGCCTGAGAAGCTTTAAAAGCATACCATTGTGGGTTGCCACCTCAGACCCATTAAATCAGAATCCTCTGTCAGGATCACGACTCACTTGAGTTGAAGAATGTAAACTCAAAATGTTTACAGCAGGTGACAATAATGGCTAACTACGACCTGATCTAATATGGTGAAGGACAGGGATGCAGCAAGTGCATGTCCTACCTAAGGTTTTTTTTTTTTTTTTTTTTAATAGTACTTTGAGGCCAGGAGTAGTGGCTGATGCCTGTCATCCCAATGCTTTGGGAGGTTGGAGCAGGAGGATTGCTTGAGGCCAGGAGTTTGAGACTAGCCTGGGCAACATGAGAGAGACCCCTGTTCTACCAAAACAAAAAAAAAAAAGAAAAAAAAAGCCAGGTATGGTGGTGCACACCTGTGGCCCTAGCTACTTAGGAGGATCGCTTGAGCTCAGGAGGTCAAGGCTACAGTGAGCTATGATCATGATCGTGCCTGAACAACAGAGCCAGACCCTGTCTCTAAAAATACTACTACTACTTTGAAAACTGTTGTGCTAGCCTAACACAGCACAGCCATAGTCCAGGTTAAACCCACCGGCTAGTTTGTGAGCTCTTGGGCAGCAAAGTCTAAGTGTTCTAATATTTACTGCCCGTGCCTAAAATGCTGAACGTAGTTGTTAATTTTTCCTCTTTATTGACCTGAGAGTTGATACTGGGAAACAAAACCCCCAACATTCTAGAGAACCAGGGTATAGCTTCAGATGTTCACTAAAATAGCAGCCAGAAGAAAATGAATAATCTTAGCCTCCGAACCTAAGCACTCTTTCCTTTGAATTCTTGCCATTAGTTCCTTCCTACTTACCTGCCCGGCCAGGCTCTTATGTGAGCAGGAGAGTGTAGTGACTGAGTGGCTCTGGAGGCTTCCTGCCTCTTTCTGAAGGCTGCTGCCATCATCTAATAGTTAGCTGTGACTTTGGGCTCGTCATTTCACAGCCTCAGTTTTCTGATCTGCTAAATGACGATAATAAAAATGCCTCCCTTCTTCCTCCAAGAGCTGTAAGGATTGAGATACTGCAGGCATGATCAGCCGACAAAAACCCCAATGCTGTTATCAGTTGGTTGTCAGCACTGCCCCCTCCTGGCAACTAGGAGAACTTGACATGTGGCAGCCTGGGTGGGAATTTGTTCCCCAACCTGAACTGAGATCAGTGTGGCTGGCTGATAGGGTGACTTTAGAGGTCTAGAAACCTTCACCCTTGCTCCCACATTAAGTAAGGTGTGAAGGACTGATACCAAGCCCTGGATGACAACGGCAGGAGAGTGGGAGGGGGAGAGGAGGCTTGGGAAAGGGAGGGAGGATGGACAACCCTTTTCAACATGGGTCCTAGGACAGTGACCAGGGACCTAGGCTGCTGCTGTTCCTGCCCCTAAAAGAAAAGCGCCCTAATCATAACCACCAGGCCATGGCTGGGATTGCCTCTGTTGAAGGTACCCCGCGTGGCAGGGCCAGGCTTCTAGGATGGGCCCTGCTAAGGCCAAGGATAGAGGAACCAGCATCTGCTGCAGCCTGCCCTGGTGGTGGGGGTGGGAGTGCTGGGTCAGGGCTCTCAAACTAAGCTCAGGTCCTGCTGGTCCCCTGGCCTGCTGGGTGGCAAAGAAGAAGTCTTCGAGCCTCTCTGGGCCTGTTTACCCCTCAGAAAAAAGGAGTTGGATTAGATGTTTGTTTTTTGAGACTATCACCCAGGCTGGAGTGCAGTGGTACAATTTTGGCTTACTGCAGCTTCAACCTCCTGCTTCAGCCTCCTGAGTAGCTGTGACTACAGATGTGTGCCACCACGCCTGGCTAATTAAAAAAATTTTTTTTCATAGAGACGAGGTCTCACTGTGTTGCCCAGGCTGGTCCCAAACTCCTGGGCTGAAGCAATCTTCCTGCCTCAGCCTCCCAGTGTTGGGATTACAGGCGTGAACCCCTGCACCCAGGCTAGATGAGTTCTTGAGTCCCTCTTGGGTGTATTCTAAAGTGTTCTCCATCTGAGGGAATGAGATCTTTACCTTCTCAAGGCTACCAGCTAAGACTTCTGGAGAAGACCCAATGAATGGTGATGGCTTCCTGACACCCAGGAGGAAAAACACAGAGCCCAGAGCAGAGAGATAGAGATATATTTCTTCTGTTGCATATTTCAGACTTCACGCTGAGCTTCAGGCACAATTACTCCAGGTTCTTCTGAGAGTCTTGACAGAGTCTTCTTCCCACGCTGCTCGTGTGACCTCACACTTCCAGTGCTCACCTGGGAAACTCTGCATGGCTCTCAGTGGGCCCTGACCCTGCCTTTCCCATCCAGGGGCAGGGTATGCTGGAAAGCCCTGGAGCCAGCCCCACCCCACTTCCAGGGTCCCCTGGCTACAAAATAACTGTCCTGCTAGAGCCCAGCTCTGCAGTGCCCCCCATATCACCTATTCTTCAGGCCTTAGAGCCTGGCAGGGCACTTGCACCCTCGTGGAGCCTCAGCCACGAGCACCACAGGCCCACGCTGGGGGATGAGGCCCTGGAGAGTGAGGCAGGCCCAGCCTCATCCAGAACAATAGCAGGTGGGCTCGGCAGGCCCCTGCTCCCCACAGACATGGCCCACTTCCTGGGGCTGCTCTGAGCCCTATTGCACATCTTCTGTTCTAGTTTCTCCCCCCACCACCCATTTTCCTTTTTAAGTTAAAAAAAAAAAAAAAAAAAACTAGAGAGGAAGGCAAGGAAGAGCTGGGTGTGGAATGCTGCTGGCACCCTTCTCACGTTCCCGCCAGCCCTCTGATCCCCAGCAGAGACATCAGCAGTAGTGCATACTGTGTCCACCCTGTCATCTGTGTGGGTTCTTGATGGCTGAATGGGTGTGCAGCCTGGGCCTCTGGTTCTTGCCTGTGGGAGGGGACACCCCTCCATTGTCTGTAAGGTGCAATTCCCCGGGTTCTCCACGGGTACTGGCTGGGGCCCTGCTACCTGAGTCGCCCGTCTGCTTTGACAGGTCCCAGCTCTGATTTGGGGTCGGGGGACAGAGAGCTCCAGCTGGTCAGTCTGCAGGGCTCCAGGGAGGGGCAAGCAGAGGGGCTTATGGCACACAGTCCGGCCACAGACCAGAAGCTGCTCAGTTCCCTGTCTGTCCAGGCCTCGAGTGCAGGGCCTGTGAGCTGTGTGTGCCGCTGGGCAGCCTCCTCTGCGAGCTCCGGCTGAGGCAGGTTCAGGATGCTACTCAGGCCCTGGAAACTCTGCTCCATGTACTCATTGTGGGGGGGTCCCGCATGCAGCCAGCTGGCATCATCTGTGGGTGCAGAGCAGGCAGTAAGCACCCCCCACCACACACAGACTCTGTGGAGGCCAGACCCAGGAGTTGGGTACCTCAGTTCCTGTCACAGCCCTACTTCTGAGTCACAGCTTGCTGAGTGACCTTGGGCTAATCCAAGGGACTTTCTGTGCCTATAAAACTGAGTTTTATAAAATCAAGGCAGTAAGCTCTAGACTCCCAACTTTAGGATGCAATAAAGCAGTGGGTTCAAGGCACTTTAGGAAAGAAGGGAACAGTCTGGTTTGTGTCCCACACCCTTTCCTGACCATCATCGGGGGTTCCTGGAGCCCTCAGAAGCCTGTATTCGGGCACTTCAGCCCTTCATGCACAGACACTGGCCAGCTCTGTCCCCTCAGCTTAGAGCACCTTCTCTGACTTTGTCCTTGAGGCGCAGCCCCTGTCCCTACCTGCTGTGCATTGCTGCCATTCTTCCCTTGACTGGGAGGTCCAGGTGTGTGGGGGACACAGCTTGCCTGCCCTGGATCCTGGATCTGCTGCAGCCCCCACCAGCACCCCCTCCTCCTCTAGGGTACCCCACCTCTTACCCACCTTCTTGTGATAGGACGGGGTGGGGGAAAGAAACACCTACAATTATCACCACCTGCATACTGGCCACTTTCCCTCCAGAGGCTCATCCCTCATATCTTCCAGGGGAGTTACTTGTACTAGGCCCTTCCTTGCCGGAAATTTGCCCAGCCTTTGTCTCTGTTCAGAGCCTACTCCTTTAGCCTCAGCCAAGTGGGCAGAGAGCCACATGACCCTGCCCACCTGGCCAGAGAGTGGACTGGGACAGCCAGTCAGATTTTCTGTCCCAAGAATGTGGAACCTGGGAACTAAAAGTCCCTGGTCAGTGTCTGTTGCACTGAGATGCCATGGATGGGGAGCCAGAGCCTGAGGTCGATGCATAGAGACACGACAGGATGAGGAGCAAGATTGCCCCAGAGAGATGGAGAAAGCACCTCTGGTTCACAGTAAGGCCTGAGACATTTCCTAGCTTTGTGAAGGAGACCTCTGCATTCTTCCAGTCTTCTCCCCTTTTTAACTCAAGCTCGGTTGAGTGGATTTGTGTCGCATGTACCACAAGGTCCCTGATAGGTGTACTATTCCTGCTTCACGTGCTAAGACTGAGGCCCAGGAAGGCCAAGTAACTTCCAAGGACAAAAGGCCAATGAACCCGTCAGAGTTATGTTCCAAACCAAGTGTGCGTGACTGTAAAGTTCCCCTTTCCACCACACTGCAGTGCAGGACCCTGCTCACTACAGGAAAGAAGATCAAGGTCTCAGCCTTTCCATGCTTCCCTTACTCTAGGGATGGGAATCAGCTCTGATGGTTGGCTTCTTGGGGTCACCTCTCTGGCGAGTCCTATTCTGTCTGGCTTCTGGGCCTCATTTGAGAACTGCAGTCTTACCTTTCCTGAGAGGTAGTTTGCGGTTGAAGGTCAAGGGCAGCACAAGGAAGCGGGTCTCACCCAGTGGTTCCCAGAACTGAAGGAGTCGAACAGTCCAGGACCCTGGCCGCAGGGGCCGGCTCAGTGGGGGCTTGTATTGCGTGACCTCGGTCTCCGTATCTACTGTGATGTCATAAGATGTGGCCACCACATAGGTTGGGTCGATCCAGACCACTGTGGCTGTGAGGTTGGGGCCCCGGACCCAGCGCTGCACGGCCACAGGCTCGTCCAGCGGCCCCAATAACCCCCCAAAGTTCCGGAAAAGACGCTCTTTGGGGTCCCAGTCAGTGCCAACCTGTAAAGAGAGAGGCAGCTGGGCAGGAGTGTGGGGGAAAGGTCCTTCTCCCCCCTCTGAGGCTGCCTCTCACTGTGTAATCTCAGGCCAGTCACTGTCTCTTTCTGGGCCTCAGTTTCCCCATCTGCAAAATGAAGGGGTCAGACTAGGAGATCTTTAATATCTCTCCTAGCTCTGAGATTCGTTCTAGGCTTCCATTCTGACTGCTAGGCAGTGGAGGTCAGTTGCCGTTATTGGGGACCATACGGCAGGGATGAGGTTCAAAGTCCCACCCAGAGACCATTCCCACATGAAGGCAAAGTCTCTAAGAAAGAGACAATGAGGAGGGGCCGGGCGTGGTGGCTCACGCCTGTAATCTCAGCATTTTGGGAGGTCGAGGCAGGTGGATAACGAGGTCAGGTGAAACCCTGTCTCTACTAAAAATACAAAAAAAAAAATAGCTGGGCGTGATGGCGTGTGCCTATAGTCCCAGCTACTCGGGAGGCTGAGGTAGGAGAATCGCTTGAACCTGGGAGGCAGAGGTGCAGTGAGCCAAGATCGCACCACTGTGACAGAGCGAGACTGTCTCAAAAAAACAAAACAAAAAAAAGGCGATGAGGAGCCACTTAGAAGCGTACTTTCATGGCCCAATTCGAATGTCCCTGCCCCTCTAGGAGAAATCGCTGTAGTCTGGAAGATTGGGCTTGTGTTGTAGTGGAAATGATAATTCCCTCCCTGCTCCCTGAATGTCCTCTGCATACCCAACCAGGAAGTGCTCCTCAGTGTGCACAGGCTGGGGGCTGACACAGGATGTCTGCATAGGGGCATCACCATGCCTGCCATGACTGGGAAAAAGAACTTTACCCCTCCCTTGGTGTCTGTCTCCCTTGGTCTCTTCCCACTACCCCAAGTCTGGCTAGGTGTTGGGAGAAAGCAAGGGGGTGGGGAGACCTGTCCCACCTCCAGACTCTGGAGCCGGCTGGCCTGGTCACTGCGCCCCAACAGCTTCAGCGACCCCTGGGGCATCAGCCACATCTCAAGCGTCTCTGCCGGCCCCTGGGCTGAGGGCTGCACCGCCTGCGTCACCAGGTAGCCCTGGAAATGGTCGTCGTAGAAATACAGGTGCACGCTGGACGGCAAGCCCCTGGGCTCAAACCTAAGGTGCCAGCAGGGAGAAAGGGAGATGCCATCAGCACACCTGACTTGGCCTGGAGTCCCCTCCCCAGGCACTTCCTTCCCCCAGATCTCACCCCCACAGCACCTGCATGCCTGGCTCTAGCCTTGTTTTCGGTATTTGCATTTTTCCCTGCCTCAGACTGGGGCCTTGTTGTGGGCAGGGGACGTCACTCTCTGGTTGGCCTCCCCCTAGGGCACCACACCCCAAGTGTCTGCTGTATGTCAGAAGGGGGTCTCACCTGCAGAGTGGGGTGCCCAGTGGGGGTGCAGCAGTGGCGGCATGGTGCAGGCTGAGGCGGGCGAAGGCCGTGTAAGCGGTGAGCATGACATCACTGAGCCCACTGGGGCCATCCGCCATGTCGTAGGTGCTCTCCCAGTAGGCCTTGAGGGCTGGCGTGCCGGGGGGATAGCTGCCGTACAGGTGGAAGTCCAGGATTTCCAGCACCTCCTGGTTCACAGTCGACTCGAACTTCCGGGCGAAGAAGGTGGGTCTGGAGACTTGCTAGAGCAGGAGAGGCAAGGAGGGTGAAGGGCTCTGGAAGCCCCAGAGGGCATGGCAGGGCCGGCCCCTCAGCACTGCCTAGAGCTCAGCCTCCTGTGGCTTTTCCTGCTGCTGTTGTAGTCCCAGACCCCTGAGGGCTGCTCCAGGCCGAGGCCCCCCAGATTTTCTGACTGGCCCACCCTGCTGTTCTCCTGGTGAAAAGCCAGGGGAGAAGACCTAGCCAGGGGCAGCCTTGGGGCCTCGGGCAAGCACCTGCAGCCGGAGGAAGTCCTGTGGCTTGAAGTCGTTGGGGGAGCAGCCGCACCAATCCACGATGTGCTTGTACTGGCACTTGCAGCCCAGCTTGCGGTTCCAGTTGGTGACCCGCAGATTGTTGTCCACGAGGGTCTCACAGGCCAGGCTGTTCTCCAGCACCGTGTGGAAGAAGGACTTCAAGCAGCAAGGGAGGGTGGAAGGTGAGCTGTAGGCAGCCCAACCCATGCCCTCCCCGGCCTTCATGCCTGCTGGGCCACCCACCTCTGCTGGGAGCAGTGTGTATGTGTAGAACTGGCGTAGCTGGGCCACAAGCAGGTCATCTGTGTACACCACATACTCCACAAAGCTGCGTGTCAGCACAAACCAGTCAGAACCGCCATCCACCACGATGCCTGCCGGGATCTGCCGCTCACCCAGGCGCCACATGTGCGAGTCACACTCATGGAAGAGCCGGTCCAGGCCCTGTTTCTTGATGAACCTGCCGGCGGCAGAGAGGCCATGGCTGGGGATCCTGCAGGGTGGGGTCTAAGCTCCTTCATCTGCCTGGCAACCAACACTCCTCAACCTGTGACTGGTGTGGAGACTTCGAAACCCAGGACTGGAGCCACTGAGCCCAACTGTGTTGGGGGTGTTGGGACAAGACCCTGGGGCCAGGGCCTCCTTTCCCACCCCCTCACCTGGAGTTGTCCCGGCCATGTGACTTGAGGAAATTCTTGTCCCGGTTCTTGGATAGGAATGCCACCAGTTCCTCATTGGTCCTGATGAAGGAATGGGGTGACAGGCAGCCAAGTGAGATAGTTGTGCAGTCACTGGCACAGAGCAGACCTTCTGACTTTTCTCTCTCCCTGAATGCTGTCTGGCCGTGTGCCCTACCCCTGGCTGATGTCTGGGGTGGTGAGCACCAGAGGCCCCTGAGGAAGACCACCCCATCCTTCCTCTGCCCCTTGCTGTCTGATCCAGCACACCAGGTACAGACCTCTGGCTCCTCCTCCTCCTCCCCATCTCCTATCATGCTCAACTCTCAGTTCATCTTACACCAACCCCTCCCCTAAAACATGGCTGGGGCCCAGGGGCCCATGTCTGAGCAGGGCGGATCCCAGAGTTAGGCTTATGGGGCAGAGAAGGTCCACCAAGGCCCTGCAACCCCAGGTGCCCAGACAGGCGTCCCCTCCCATCCAGAGGACTCAGAGACCCATCCCCACACCTGGTTGGGTAGTCAGTGGCACTGAGGTTGATGAAGAAGTCCCAGGCCCAGCCAGGCACCTCTAGCAGGTCCCGCATGCTCCGCAGGTACATCCTTAGGAGGCTGGCCCCGCCCCAGATGGTGACCATGCGCCAGGGCGTCACCCGCACATTATCATAGCGCTGGGCCAGCTCCACCACCTCCCGGTGCAGGTAGTCGGAACGCTGGTGGGGAGGAGACACTCAGCTAGCCCCCAGTGTTATCGCCATCCCCACTTCCACCCCAGGACAGAGTGAAGGGACACAAGACAGGGAAAGCACAGGGCAGGACTCCAGCCCCTAAGCAGCTGAGCTGGCTCGTGCTGCCACCCCCCTGTTCAGGGCCTCAGTTTCTCTCTCTAGGCTACCTGGGCCAGGTCAGAGACCCTGTCTGTCGGCAACCTTCTGTTTCTGCTCTGCTCACCCCAGACCCCTTGGCCTCTCCCCACCACAATACCTTGTCCACATGGATGTAAAAGAAGTGCTGCTCGTGATAGACGGCCTTGAGGAGACGCTTCAGCTGGCGGATGGCGCGGCCGTGAACCACCAGCATATAGGCGATTCGCACCGGGGGGCCATCCACAGGCTGGGCTCGGCTCTCATCCCACTGGATGCCGGGGCTCATCTTCCCTGAGAGCAGAGGACAGGCGTTGGCGAGGCCCCCCAGGGTCACAGGGTCAGGGTGAGATGGGAAGAGGGAGCTGCCTGCCTTCCAAAGAAGCCTAGAGTTGGAGCCCCATGCTCCTGGGTCCTCACTCTGCCCCTGCCACTTAGTAAGTAACTGGATGAAGTCTTAGGCAGGGAGGTAGGCCCCCCTTGGCTCTTTCTTCCTCAGAGAGATGGGAGTGTGGATCCGGGCCATGCCACCTCCCTGCCCCAGCCTGGGAAGGGCTGGAGCACCCCTGTCCCTCACCAGTCAGCTGACAGTGCCGGGGCACAGCCTTGGGCATGAGGCTCCCAGCCTGGTGCAGGCACACCACATTGGCGATCTCCTGCTGGCACTGCTTGGTGCTGGCCCGGGCCAGTGCAGACAGCGCGTCCTTGCCCACGATCTCGCACTTGGGGGTGAAGCCGTTGTCCGTAGGCTGGGGGGCGCCCTCCACGCTCCCTGTATCTCCGTGTGGTGGGAAGCCGGCTGCCCCTACCAGCGCCTCCCCAGCTGCTGCCCCACTCAGGTTCTGGCGGCCTGGGGCCTCTGGGGGTGGGGCAGGTGGGACCCGCCGGCTGGCCCTCTGCCGGCTGGTTACTGCCCGTACCACCTTGGCCACGGGCACTCCTGGGCTCTCAGCACGGCCCCGCCAGCGCCCATGCCTTCTGCCTGCGCTGCCCCGTCGTCCTGCTGAACTGTCTGTGTCCTTGGAACCTTCGCCAGGGTCCAGTGGCCGTGGCTTCCTCTGTCTTCCTTTCTGTAAAAGATATGCAGACACATCACTGGGGCAGCCCCTCACCTCCTCCTGCTCCTTGAGTTCCATGTTGGTTGGGGGCACCCTCAGACCTAGACATTTCTGCTCACTTTTTACCCAGAGAAGTGCTTTTCACCTAAGGACTCCACACAATCAGCACCACCGCGGGAGCGCCTCCCTAGCCAGCCACCGAGGGAGCACTGGTCCTCCCTCCATCATACCAACACCCCTGTCACCCACTGGCTCTCAGATTACATGGCACTGTGCTTGGTTTTCTGTTCTGGACTCAGATACCACTTTCTTTTTCAGCAGATGTTAAAATAAATATCCACGTGTCCCAAGGGAAGGGTGCAAAGACCCCACCGAGGGTACAAATGTCCACCTAAGACCCAGCACTCCCACCGAGGCCTGGGAGGAGACAGTGGTCTTCAGGAGACTCTAACTTCCAGATGAATCCAAAGCATTTCCATGTGGGAAGACTGAGGCCATTTCACAGTGAAGGAGGAGTGCCCATGGGGGATGACAAAGGTGAAGTCTGAGACCCCAGTACTGCTTGGGTCCTTTAGGAAGCAGATCAAGAGAGAGTCAGAGTGCGTGAGATTCACTGTGGGTACCCCCGTGAGCGATGGGGCAGGGGCTGGCAGGGAAAGGCTTTGGACCACAAAGGAGATGACCATGCAAGGAGAGGGGCAAGAAGAGCTTCTCTCTCCAGCACAGCCTCGAGGAAGTCCTGGCTGGCTCCCGGGAAAACTCCAGCACATGTACTGCCTGGAGCTGGTGAGCCCTGACACCTCCACACTCAGTCCGTGGCTGGAAAGCTGAGGCAGAGCCTGAAGGTGCCCGCAGCTGGAGGCTGTCACCTCGCTGCACGTGCAGCAGGGCACCGCTACCGCTGCCCCGCCCCTGCTTCCTGGCTCTAAGTGCTCTGGTACCTGCTGCCTCTCCTCAAATCCAGGCACTTCCCTAGATGGCCTGGTGGTGACTGAACAGCATGTCCAGCCACCTCCTCCTCCGTTCCCCCATCCTACCTGCCCTGCCTGATCAAATCCCATCCATCCTTTCAGATCCAGCTCCAAGGCCCCTGGCATGCAGCCATTCCATTTGCCCTTCAGTGGAATGGGCTGAGCTCCAAGGCCCTGGATGTTCCTCTAGTAGTGAACTCCTTGACAAGAGACATGTCAGCTCCATCTCCCCAGGGCCCAGCAGAGCAGCTGGCATACACAGACACCTAGCTGGTGTCTGGTGGATGAGATGCAGAATGAACGGAGGAACAGGGGCCACCGGGTGAACACTCTAGAGTCTCCAGGGCTCTGGGCCTAGCTCTGCCAACTCACCAGCAATTCCCTAACTTCTCTGAGCATGCTCCCTTAGCTGTAAAGAGGAATAACAAATGAGCATGAGACACTGCAGCTAGGGAGAGCCGTCTCCAGCCTCATAAACCCTCTCCCACCGGCCTTCCCCTCCATGCTCACAAGCTCTCCAAGACTAAGTCCTCTTCTTTCTTGGCCTTTTAGCAGCCAAGAACTTAATGGACCACTCTGTCTTGCTTGAAGCACCCTCCGCATTTGCTTTCCAGGATACCCACCTGGCTTTTCTCCTCTTTCCACTGCCACTCCTTATGGTCTTCTTGGTGCTTCCTTGTCTCCCAGGGCACATCTGGGGGCCCTTCCTGTCCTAGCACCTTCACATCCTAAGTGATCTTCAGTCTCTGGGTTTCTAAACTCCATCCCCACCCCCAGATTGATCTCTCTGGCCTGGATAGCTCCCTTGAACCTTCAGGCATTTAACTACCAGCTTCCTTGACATCTCACCTGGGAGCTTGATAGACCTCTCAAGGCCACAAGCCCAAAAGTACCTCCCGCTCTTCATCCCCAACCTGCTCCTACTTCATCTTCCCCATCTCAGTTAATGACATCTCCATCCTTCAAGATGCTCAGGCCAAAAACTTTTGGGAATCAATTTTTTGTTTTGAAACAGAGTCTTACTCTGTTGCCCAGGCTGCAGTGCAGTGGTACAATCTTGGCTCACTGCAACCTCTGCCTGCTGGGTTCAAGCGATTCTCCTGCCTCAGCCTCCTGAGTATCTGGGACTACAGGCACATGCCACCACGCCTGGCTAATTTTTGTATTTTTAACAGAGACGGGGTTTCGCCAAGTTGGCCAGGCTGGTCTCGAACTCCTGACCTCAGATCCACCTGCCTTGGCCTCCCAAAGTGCTAGGATTACAGATGTGAGCCACCGCGTCCGGTCAGGAGTCATCTTTGACTCTCTTTCCCTTACACCCCACATCCACTCCATCAGTAAATCCCTTCAGAATATATCTGGAATCCGATCCCTTCTCAACACCTCCCTCACTATCCCTGCCTGGATTCCCTAGTCTTCCAGCTCCTACTCTTCTTCCCCTAAATTCCATTCTCATCATAGCAGCCGGTGTTTCTGTTACAACTCTTAAAATCCCATTTCACTACTCCCCTGCTCCAAACCTCCAGTGGCCCCTCTTAGGATAAAAACCAAGGCCCTTACAGGAGCCTACAGAGGCTCCGTGAGCTCGCTGGATGCCCCCTTCTCCACCCAGGCCTCTCTGACCTCATCTGGGAATTTGTCATGCTCACTCTCCTGCAGCCACAGTGGCTTTCTCTGCATCCCCTCATCCCCCCTGGCACTCCTGGCTCCAGCCCTTGCACCCACTATCCCCTGTGCCTGGCACACCCTCACCCAGATAGCCCCATTGCTCACTCCTTGCCTCCTTCAATTCTTTGTTCAGATGCCATCTTCTCAGTAGGGCCATCCTGACCACTGGATTTACAGTGCCAGCCCTCCCTCCTCCTCTTTTTCCCATAGCACAATATTTCCTCTCACCCTACTATTTATTTATACTGTTTTGATTTTTTTTTTTTTAATTTGTCTTTCTCCTCAGGAGATTGTAAGTTCCCCAAGGGCAGGGCTTTTTGCTGTATGTACTGACATAGTCCTAGCGCCTAGGAGAGTGTCTGGCTGTAGTACATACTCAGTAAGTGTTTGATTTTTTGAGACAGTCTTGCTCTCATTGCCCAGGCTGGAGTGCAGTGGTGCAATCTCAGCTCACTCCAACCTCCGCCTCCTGGGTTCAAGTGATTCTCCTGCCTCAGCCTCCCATGTAGCTGGGATTACAGGTGCACACCACCATGCCCGGCTAATTTTTTGTATTTTTAGTAGAGACAGGGTTTCACCATGTTGGCTAGGCTGGTCTTGAACTCCTGATCTCAAGTGATCCACCAACCTCGGCCTCCCAAAGTGCTAGGATTACAGGCCTGAGCCACTGTGCCTGGCCTTGGTATTTGTTGAATGAATGAATGAATGAATGAATGCAAAGCTTTTGGCATAGGCACAGCATTCAGTAAGTACTGCTACTTTTTTTTTTTTTTTGAGACAGAGTCTCGCTCTGTCGCCCAGGCTGGAATGCAGTGGCATGATCTCAGCTCACTGCAACCTTCACCTCCTGGGTTCAAGCAATTTTCGTGCCTCAGCCTCCCAGGTAGCTGGGATTACAGGCGTGTGCCACCATGCCCGGCAACTTTTTGTGTTTTTAGTTAATACTGGGCTTCACCATATTGGCCAGGCTAGTCTCGAACTCGTGACCTCAAGTGATCTGCTCGCCTCAGCCTCCCAAAGTACTGGGATTACAGGCATGAGCCACCATACCCAGCCCAATGCTGCCATCTTTATCATTATGATTACTCAGATGGGAGAAGGAAATAGTCAAACGTGAAGTCAAGAGAGGCCCAAGATCCTCAACATCTTGGACTCAGCTGGGTTGGGTTCTCTGTGCTCCTCACCTCCCCAAGGGCTTCCCCCAACCCCTGCACACCGTACCCACTACCATTCTCCTCAGGCCTTCTGAGCACATCAGGAACCTCATGCTGTCAGGATGACAGCCACCTTCAGGCCAGAGCCCCATCCCTACACCCATGCCCTCTGTGCCTAGCACCCAGCAGCCTTCTGATCTTTTGATTTTATTTATTTTAATAGAGATGCAGTCTCGTTATCCAAGCTGGTCTCGAACTCCTGGGCTCAAGCGCTTCTCCTACCTTGGCCTCCTAAAGTGCTGGGATCACAGGCATGAGCCACAGTGCTTGGTTGCCCTCTGATCTCTTAAAGATGGCCAGTGGGAGCTGGGGGCAGCCATTCCCATCCGAGAAGAGATACCTGCAAGAAGAGGCAGCAGACCCTATTCTGTACCCACACTGGGGAGGGCGCCACAGGCTGGGGAATCCCTAGGAAAGGTAAATGCAGCCCCACCGGGCTGAGTGTGTATCAGCCTGGTGACATGTGACCTGGCCACACAGCAAGCAGAGAAAGACATTCCCAAGCTTAGGTGGATAGAGATGGCAGACAGCTGTAGGCTCTCCGAGTGGAAGCCAGTATCAGTGAGTCAGGAAGCTGGTCAGGAGGGTAGGGCATGAGGCACGGGGCCAGGTTGGCTGTGGTGGGGGCCAGGATGTGGGAGGAGATGGGCATGTTGGTCCCTGCACTGCAGTGGGAGCTGGCTGACCCTGAGAAGGACAATCCCAGAGGAGGCTGGGAGACAGGAGGCAGCAGTGAGGGATCAGAGAGGCCCTGGTGGGCAGTTAGCCCCCACCTCCGTCCCTTCCAGGCATGTCCAAATAGCATCATCACAGCCCCAGCCTTGTGCCCCTCACAGGCTGCCCCCAGCAGCCCTGAGGCCGGGAGCCCTTCTGATGACAGGGTGGGGAATGGTCCTCTGACCTCTGGCCTGGATGCATTCTGGCCTCAGAGGCTCCTTCCTCTCCTCCAAGGAGGCAATTAAAATCCTCTGCCACTTCCTGGCTCTGCAGCCCCACCTTAGAATCTTTCTCTGAGTCACAGAGGGTGAACACAGAAATGCTCCCCCCATCCCCACCTCCTTTGACTTCTCAGGCTGCATTTAAAACAAGTGGTGAGATGGTGTTTGTGAAAGCTTTGGAAACTATCGAGCGGCTCTCTGGAGGTTAGTGACCATCCCTGGGATTCACAGCCTCTCCATAGATGGGCAGAGCGCACCTCTTAAATGCACACTGAATCCTGTGCTGCTTAAACCCCTTCGGTGCTCTCCCGCTGCACTCAGAATAAAACCCTTGCCCCTTGCTGTGGTCCTTTCAGCCACACAGGATGGAACCTTCTTCCAGGGAAAGCACCACACCCTCCTGTCCATTCCTCAAGGGTGCCCAGCTAAGCCCATTCTCCTCAGGCCTTCTGCCTGAACTCTCCTGCCCATCTCTTCCTCTGAGAAGCCTTTCCTGACCCCCTGATCTAACCCAACCCCTTTGTAATTCTATTGAGTTCCTTTTCACTGTCTGTTTCTTCCTGTAGATTACCTGTCCATGAGGGCAGAGACCTCATCTATTTTATTTTTGTATCCCCAGTGTTAGCACAGTGTCTAGTACAAAGTAGGACTTCATACCTATTTATGGAATGAATGAATGAATGAATGAATGAATGAATGAATCGTATTCCCAATGCACAGTGCTGGGATAATAAGAGTTATTTATTTACTGACAGCTGAGCGTGTGCCAGGAACTCCTGCAAGTGCTTCACAGGCATCATTTTCACTTAATCTTTATAATCGCCCAACACAGGAGGTGCCAATATTATCCCCATCTTGAGGAGGGATACTGATGAGGATAAGGGAAGAGGCAAAGTGATTTGCTGGTGGTCTCCTCAGGGTCAGAGCTGGAAGAGAGTGGTGAAGTGGGCGGTCCAGCTTCAGCACTCACCTTCCCATGCACCCCGTTATGCTGCCTGGCAACCCCAGAGTCAGGTGAGGGAGCAGCTGAGGGGCTCCAAGCAGCAATGGGTGCCTGGACCGCACAAGCTTTTTCAAACATTCCAATCCAGAATTCCCCTATTCATTCAGCCAGTAAGCTGGAGGAGGAGGTGGTGGGGGATGGGGGCGGTAGCCCAGAGTGGTCCCATATTCCAGTGTCAGAGGGCTCCCTAACTGCCTTGGCAGCCCATTCCATCTTGGAACGTCCCGTCTGCCCAAAGAGTCTTCTTACACTGGGCCCGAAACACTCTCCTACTTGCTCGTCCTACTTGTAGGTCCACATCCCCACGGATGTCACGGAGCCAGCCGCCCCTGCCCCCACCTCCTTTTGGAGTTATGGTCTCATGTGACTCTGTTCCAGCCCCCACCACCATCCCACCCTCTGGGTTCTCCAAAAAAAGGCAAGGGCAGCTCTTCTGTCTCCACACCAGGCCTTCCAGGCTGGTGAGATGCCGTAAGGGGTTGTGGGTATCGGCGCTTGCCCGAGGACAGCAGCAGACAGAGTCTCTGACCCGGAGCCCTGGAGGCAGCAGAACAGGGGCGCTGGGGACAGGGAGGCCCTGACCTCTGGGCCACAGCTTAGGACTGTGGTGTGGCCTGTCCTCTCCATCTCCGCAGCATGAACCCAGACCCAATGGACCCTTCCTCACCACACCGCTGAGGTGTCTGAGCCTCCAGCTGAAACCACATCAGGGAAGAGGGAGAAAGACCCTCGAGGCAGGGACCTGGGGGCTGAGACGGCTGTTGGTTGCCCCTGCTCTACGGCTGGGACTGTTACAGTCCCCATTCCCTTAGAGTCAGAGGGCCCCTCCCTAATTCCCTAAGGTCCTGAGGCCAACTCACCAGCTCAGTTCCTCCTCCCCCTGCCCTCCGGAGACCCATCCAGGTTCTTCAAACCTCTGGCTGAGGAAGCCACACCTCGGAAAGGCTCCAGTTCTCTCCCTCGGGGTCACTCCTTGTTCCTTCAGTTCCCAGGTACACACTTTGTCCCAGGCCCGAATTCCACCCCCGAGCTCCACTTGCTCACCGGCCGCTGCCCCCTCGGGCTCAGCTGGGGAAGGACGCTCTGGGTCCCTTGGCCCCACTCCTCCGCCCACGGCGCGCACATCCCCGCCCCCTCCCAACTTCAGAAAGTTTGGCCTGGGGCTCCCCACCTCCGAGCAGGTTCGGGCCCAGCCCCGCCTCCCAGCCCCGCTCGCCGCGCCTGACCTTCATCGCTCCCTTGGCCGGAGACCACCCCAGCATGACCTGCTCCTCCCGCCCCGGCCCCCAATGCACCAGGGCCCGGGTCTCCAGGTCACGCACTGTCCCCGAGCGCAGCTCCTTAGGCCTGCGGGGTAAGGGAGTGCCGGGGGCCCGATGCTCTGCTCCAGGCGACCGCCGGCGCCCTGCACGCACGCACGCGGCCCGTGCCCCACTTCCCCGGCTGGGGCCGCCCGCAGCCCCGCCAGGACCCCGCGCGCCCCCGCGCCCGGCCTGCCCGCCCGCCTGGTTGTCGGAGCACCTCGCCCGCCTCGTCCTCCTCCAGGCCGCTGAAGCTCCACACCACCAGGCCCTGCAGCAGCAGGATGGCCAGCGCCGTGGCAATCGCCAGCTTGTAGCGCCGCACCAGCTTCTGCACTCGCGCGCTCGCCACCATCTTCCTGCCCGGGACGCGGGGCGCGCGCCCAGCCCTGCAACCCGGCCGCGGGCGCGCGCACGGGCGCGGGGCTGAGTCTCCCCCCCGCCCGCACGCCCGGGGAGGCGGGCCGGGCGCGCGCCGGGGCGGGGCCTGCGGGGCCAAAGCACCGCGCCCCGCAGGCTAGGGGTGGAGCCAGGGCTCGCAGCGCCTACCTCCCCGGCAGCCGCGGGCGTGGGCCTGAGCGCCTGCCTTCTGCGCTCTTGTCTCCGCTGGTGCCCCTGGCTCCCACGTGTGCTCCCCTCCACCTGGACGGCGAGCGCCTGGTGCTGGGGAGTGGAGGGTCTGCGGCACAACCTCTCTTGCCTGGTATCGGGGGTCGTGGGCGAGTTCAGTCCCACGCCAGTAAGCTCTCTGTCCCGGGGGCCCTAGGAAAGCCAGGGCTCCCAGAGACCCCTCCTTGGAAGAGGGCGTGTGAGAGCCACAGGCTTCTGCTTAAAAACCTGGAGGCCGCACCTGCGGGTCAAAGTCTAACCCTTTGACGGGCATCAGAGAGCCTTCACGAATCCTCCTTTCTGCTCTGCGCTCATCCTAAGCATCCTCAGGCCGCTCCCAGAGTCGTGGTTCTCAAACTACTCGGAGTCTCTTGGAGGTCTTGATAAAACAGATTTTTGGTGTCCCTCCTCCCTCCCCCAGAGTGTCTGCTTTGGTAGGTCAGTAGTGCGGCCTAAACAGTAGAATTTTCAGCAAGTTCCCAGGTGATGCTGATGCCTTTGCTCTAGGACCAAACTTGGAGAACCAGTAGACCTGGACACGTGCTGCTCCCTCTGCCAAGTCTTAGCAACTTCCCCCCCACCCCCACCGCCACCCCCTACGCCATCAGTGGCATCCTCCCTGTGCGTCCCCAGCACTGTGCAGTGAGCACCAATCACACATCCTGTCGTGACTGCTCTGGGATCTCACCCTGCTTTGGACACCCAGCAATGCTCAAGAAATGTTGCAGAGAGCAAGCAGGCGAGGCCCAGCTTCCCGTCTAACCAGCTGGCCCTAACATTTGTTTGAGAACCCAGCGTGTTCAATGAGCACCACTTTGGACAAAGTCTAAGCACCTGTGGCCTCCCCTGAGCCTGGCAGGCCCATGGAGAGAGGGAAGGCGAGAAGAGCAAAACAGTGACCACCAAAGCAAGGTGAATCCCCAGCTGGGGAAGCCAGGCACTGGGAGGAGGAAGTAATAAAAATAGCAAACACAAGTTAGAAGGTGTAAAGGGAAGACTTTAGGAGCCACTACAGAGAGGTCTGGAAAGAGAAGTGGCTTACAAAAAAGAAAAAAAAAGTTTGAAAAGTTAGAAGGCAATGATGGAGGGGTTTGGAGGTTGCCAGAAGATTGGGTTGATGAGAGAATTCTAAACTGATGTGTACAGGATACACAAGCATTTGATGGTACATAAATAAACCTCCTTTAATCGTCTTATGTGCTTTAGCATTTGTAATCATTCTGTTCCTCCGCGTTTGTTAAATGGGAGAACTGTAAACAATGTTTCCAACGACAGTTTGGCTACTTAAGAGAGCCTGCACTTCAAAGATTTTGGAAAACATCAGTTGACGTGCCAGCAATTGATATGTTAATTAAATATTGATCTTGTGTGCTCATTAAATCAGATCCTCTAGGGACTTCTACCTGCCAATAATTCCCCCCACAACAATGAAAATAGCTTCATTTTTCACTGATTATATAAGTAACAAATACCCATTATATAACATGTAAACACTAAACAAATAAGAAAAAAAGTGGCCGGGCGCGGTGGCTCAAGCCTGTAATCCCAGCACTTTGGGAGGCCGAGACGGGTGGATCACGAGGTCAGGAGATGGAGACCATCCTGGCTAACATGGTGAAACCCCATCTCTACTAAAAAATACAAAAAACTAGCCGGGCGAGGTGGCAGGCGCCTGTAGTCCCAGCTACTCAGGAGGCTGAGGCAGGAGAATGGCGTAAACCCAGGAGGTGGAGCTTGCAGTGAGCTGAGATCCGGCCATTGCACCCCAGCCTGGGCGACAGAGCAAGACTCCGTCTCAAAAAAAAAAAAAAAAAAAACCAAAAAAGAAAAAAAGTAAAAGTCACCTACAGTCCCACCCCTTAAGATAATCATCATTAACATTTTGGTGGCTATCCTTTCCCCCATTTCTCTTTTTGTTTTGTTTTGGTTTTTCTTTTTTTTTTTTTGAGATGGAGTCTCGCTCTGTCGCCCAGGATGGAGTGCAGTGGCACAATCTCAGCTTACTGCAACCTCTGTGTCTCAGGTTCAAGCGATTCTCCTGCCTCAGCCTCCAGAGTAGCTGGGATTACAGGCACGTGCCATGACACCCGGCTAATTTTTGTGTTTTTAGTAGAGATGTATTTCACCACATTGGCCAGGCTGGTCTCAAACTCCTGACCTCGTGACCCACCTACCGTGGCCTCCCAAAGTACTGGGATTATAGGCGTAAGCCACCGCGCCTGGCGCTTTCACCTATTTCTTTATGTGTACATAATTTTGCATGGATGGGGTCACATCACACACATGGTTTTTAAATACAGAAACTTATTTTTAAGTATTTCTCTCTCTTCCTCCTCTATGTTAACAGCCTGGCATGGCTCACTTGGTTTCTTCCCAACTTCCTTCCTTCCACATTTCTCCCTAACAATTCACACACACACAGGTTTATTTTTTAAATTTTTTGAAGGAGTCATTATATTTAAATTTTGAGGGTGTTATATTTTAAAAGTTGAATCATATTCCATACATTTCTCTGCTGCTTGCTTTTCTCCCTTAACTGTAAATACATAACAGAAATTCCTCTAAATTGGATGGGATGGGTCTCACTCATTCTTTTTCATGGCTGCGTAATATTCCACTCCCTTCTTGAATAGACACTCACTTGGTTTCTGGGATTTTGCCACTGCCACATAGCTGTTAATAAACATACTTCCATGCTTATCCCTATGCACTGATGCTGGTTTTTTTTTTTTTTTTTTTTTTTTTTCTGAGATGGAGTTTTTTGCTCTGTTGCCCAGACTGGAGTGCAGTGGCGTGATCTTGGCTCACTGCAAACTCCACTTCCCAGGTTCATGCCATCTCCTGCCTCAGCCTCCCGAGTGGCTGGGACTACAGGCGCCTGCCACCACGCCCGGCTAATTTTTTGTATTTTTAGTAGAGATGGGGTTTCACTGTGTTAGCCAGGACGGTCTCGATCTCCTGACCTTGTGATCCACCCACCTCGGCCTCCCAAAGTACTGGGATTACAGGCGTGAACCACCGCGCCTGGCCTGCACTGATGCTTTTATTTCTATGGCAGAGTTTCCCGGGAATGAGGAAAAGGGAATCTTTAATTTTGATATTGTCAGATTGCTTCCCAAAGAGAATTCAAGTTTCCAGCAATAGTATTTAAGGGTTTTGTTTTCCTGCATCTCTTCCAGCAGCAGGTGTTATTCTGTTTTTGATGTTTGCTAATCTGATAGATGAGGAGTGGCCTTATTATTTTTTAGTTTGCAGTTCTCTACTGGGCAGTGTCTGTTAATTGGTTTATTGACTGGATTTGCTCACCTGGAAGTGCCTCTTCACATTCTCCACAAATTAATCTATTGCTGTTATATTATTTGTCTTATCAATTTTTAGAGTTTTTATCTATTCAAAATTTCCCTCAACTCACTGCACTTTGAGTGTTTAAGACCATTCTAAAATTTTGAACTTTTTTGTAATCAAATATGTTCCTCCTCTCTTTCATGGCTTCTCATTTGGGTTTAGTAAATCTCTTCAGTTCTCTGTGATGTGTATAGTCTCAGGTATTCTCTCCTATAAATTTTATTTTCCATTCTTAACATTTAAGTTTTTAATCCAGCTGGAATTTGTTTTTGTATATGATATGCAATGGGGGTAGGGAGTCCTTATTTAACATTTATTACCAGTCATTCTATCAGTACCTACTCAGACTTTTTATTTATTATTATTATTTTTAAGGCAGGGTCCTTCTGTGTCACCAAGGCTGGAGTACAGTGGCACAATGGGGCTCATGGCAGCCTCGAACTCCTGGGCTCAGGTGATCCTCCTGTCTCAGCCTCCTGAGTAGCTGGTACTACAGGCGCATGCCACCACACTATTTTTGTTATTTTTGTAGAGACAGAGTCTCCCTGTGTTGCCCAGGCTGGTCTCAAACTCCTGACCTCAAGCAGTCCTCCCACCTAGGCCTCCCAAAGTGCTGAGATTACAAGTGTGAGCCACTGCACTTGGCCTTTATTATTTTTTTGTTTTGTTTTGTGTGGATCTCACTCTGTTGCCCAGGCTGAAGTGCAGTGACACAATTACGGCTCACTGCAACCTTGACCTCCCGGCTCCAGCAATCTGCCCACCTCAACCTCTTGAGTAGCTGGGACTGCCTCGTGATTTTTTTTTCATTTATTTTTTGTAGAGATGGGGTCTCCCTATGTTGCCCAGGCTGGTCTCAAGCTCCTGGGCTTGAGAGATCCTGCCATCTTGGCTTCCCAAACTGCTGGGATTACAGGCATGAGCCACTGGGCCTGGCCCGCCTTCACTGATTTTTTTTTTTTTTTTTTTGAGTCTTACTCTGCCACCCAGACTGGAGTGCAGTGGCACAATCTCGGCTCACTGCAACCTCTGCCTCCTGGATTTAAGCAATTCTCCTGCCTCGGCCTCCTGAGTAGCTGGGGTTGTAGGTGCCTGCTACCATGCCCGGCTTATTTTTGTTTTAGTAGAAACAGGGTTTCACCATGTTGGCCAGGCTGGTCTCAAACTCCTGACTTTGTGATCTACCCGTCTCAGCCTCCCAAAGTGCTGGGATTAGAGGCGTGAGCCACCGTGCCCAGCCCACTGTTTTTTTGTTTTGTTTTTTAACAAATTTGTTATCTGGTTATTGTGGTGCCTGTAATTCTCAGCTACTCAGGAGGCTGAGATAGGAGGATCGCTTGAGCCCAGGAATTTGAGACCAACCTGGGCAACATGGCAAGATGTCTCTAAAAAATAAATAAAAATAAAACCCCAAATTTGTTATTGAGGTATAGCATGCATAGACTGGCTTTGATTTGACCATATAAAATGCAAGAATCATTGTTCCCCTCTGTCTCCTCTTCGG